GCCCCTGGCCCCCTGACCACAAGTGAGAGACCACCTCCTTTCTCTCCTCCCTGTCTCCAGTCTCACTACCCCCTGGTCTGTCCCCTGCATGGTCACAGGGAGAATGTCCCATCACTGGGCTTCCACCGTGCCTTTCCCCTCCTCTCAGCCCTTCCACAGATCCCCATCAGCTGTAGGGAAAAGTTCAGGGGACTTTATCTTCACCTGACAATTTAGGCCCTTCAGGGACCCTGCCACCCTCTCCCTCCTCATCTTCCTTCCTCACACTGTATACACAAACCACGCCTTTGTGAGCACTGTCCTTCCTACCTGGGATGCCTTTCCTCCGGCTGCTTTGCCAATTCCTGTAGATACGCGTATTTTCTTCTTCACTTGTTTTTTCCCCCTCTATCCCTCCCTCTCTTCCTTTCTTCCATTTTTATCTTTTCATCTATCTATCATCCACTAACTTCTTTTAATCTTGCCTCTTCTTTCCCTTTATTCTTTTATATAAGGATTCGTAGTGGTGGTGGTCCCGACATTCATAGATGAAAATCTTGTCAGTAGCATCCATGCTACTTCTCCACTGCCTTTGCCTTCTCATCAAGACCAGATATTTCTGAGGCACTGCAGTTAGGAAAGAGCAATAATTAGTTGTTCGGTGAGTAGTAAAAAAGGGTTAGATGACCACAGATCAAGAAGACAAAGAGGTGGGTGCCTGGGTGGCTCAGTTGGTTAAGCGACTGCCTTCGGCTCAGGTCATGATCCCGGAGTCCCGGGATCGAGTCCCACATCGGGCTCCCTGCTCAGCAGGGAGCCTGCTTCTCCCTCTGACCCTCTCCCCTCCCATGCTCTCTATCTCATTCTCTCTCTCAAATAAATAAATAAAATCTTTAAAAAAAAAAAAGAAGACAAAGAGGTGTGTGAAGGGATAGGCAAAATGAATGATGTGCAAATTTAAGTCCATTCAGTCAGAACACAGATAGTAACAATACTAAACATCATTTGGATAATTCACAACCAACCAGCACAATAGAGACCACATTTCCTGGATCTATTCAATCAGTCACTCCTTTTCTTTTAACGCATTACCTAACATGCAAGGGTTCATGTCATGAGATGGTTAACTGAAGTCTTCTTTATCCCTTTGCTCGTTAGTTGTAACCAAATAAATAACTTTAAGAAAGGGGGTATGTTTTATTTCTCTCCACCCCCCATTTGCCATTTCTGCACCAAGAAAGCATTTAAAAAATTTTTCCAACCTTTTATGGAAAATAATATACATATAGAAAGGACACAAATCATCAGCAAAGAGCAGGTGAATTCTTGGATCAAGAAACACAGGACCAGATCCCAGAAATCCCCTTGTCCTCTCTTCCAGCCACTGAGTATCCTGACTTTTTTTTTTAAAGATTTTATATATTTATGTATTTATTTATTTTAGAGAGAGAGAGTGAGCGAGCACATGCACACTCGAGAGGGAGAGGGAGAGAATCTCATGCAGACTGTGCACAGAGCACGGAGCCTGATGCAGGACTCGATCTCACGACCCTGAGATCATGACCTGAGCCAAAACCAAGAGTCGGACACTTAACTAAGCCACCCAGGTGCCCCTGAGTATTCTGACTTCTAACTGTATACATTAGTGTTGCCTACTTGGGAACCTTATATAAACGGAATTGTGCAGAATGGTCTCTTGTGTGTATTGTCCTTTTGCTCAACATCGTTTGTGAGACTCATCCATGCTGTTGCATGTAGGTGCATTCTCATTGCTAAATAGCATTCCACTATGTGATGAGGCCACAATTTATCCATGCTACTGTTGATAATTATTTGAGCTGTTTCCAGTTTGTGGTTATTATGAACTGTCCACCTGGGAACATTCTAGGATATGTCTTTTGGAGGAAATATATAAACTTATGTCTGTTGGGGAAATACACCCGGGTATACCCATATGTTCTGTGTCCCAAGGAAGGGCCCTGTGCAAATGGAAGTGCTCTTAGTGTAAACAGAATAAAACTCAAGATGTCGAACATCCAACTGTTGATTCTCACTCACTTCCATCTGTCCCTCTCTGGTAAATGGCACCACCATTTCCCCCGTTCCTCAGGCCAAAACCTTGGAGTCTTTTCTTTACCTCACACTCATCAGCCAATGTATCAAGTCCTGTCAGCTCTACCAACAAAATCCATCGGGCTCCCTGCTCAGTGGGAAGCCTGCTTCTTCCTCTCCCACTCCCCCTGCTTGTGTTCCTTCTCTCTCTTTGTCTCTCTCTTTCTCTCAAATAAATGATTTTATTTATTTATTTGAGAGAGAGGGAGAGAGAGAGAGAACACGAGCTGAGAGAGGGGCAAAGGGAGAGGGAGAAGCAAGACTCCCGCTAAGCAAGGAGCCTGATGCAGAGCTCGATCCCAGGACCCAGATATCATGACCTGAGCCGAAGGCAGAACCTTAACCAACTGAGCAATCCAGGCACCCCAGACACAGGGATCTCTAAAATGTAAAGCATGTACACAAGAGGACACGCTTTATGACTCCATTTATATGACATTCAATATTAGGCAAAATTGATGTATGATAGAAGTCAGAGTAATAGCTCCCTCCAGGGTGGGAAGTGCCTGTGAAGGGCTACGTGGGAGGCTTTGGGAACAGGGACCAGAAATGTTCTATATCTTGATCTAGTGGAGGTTATTCAGGGGTATACATATGGAAAAATGGCACGTTGTGCATTTTATGGTATGTGTTTTATGTTTCATTGAAAAAGTTATATATTATCTGTAATTACATATACATATAATTATATATGTATGTTATAATACATAATATTATGTACACACCACACAAGATATAATAATATACTATACATATACTATTATATGATATATATTTATATGAAACATGGCAGCTCCCTGCTATAAAGTCTCCAATGGATTCTGTATCAGTATGGGATCAACCAGAAAAACAGAACTAGCTGGAGATATATATTAAGATAAGAGATTTATGGCAAGGCTTATGTGATTGTGTGGGCTGGCCAGGCGAGTTCAAAATCCACAGGGCAGGCTGTAAGAAGAGGCAGGCTGGAACTCTCGAGCACGGGCTGAAGATGCTGTCCATAGGTGGATTTCTTTTTCAGGCAAGCCTCAGCTCTGCTTTTAAGGCGTTTTCAGCTGGCTGACCCAGGCCCACCCGGATGATCTTGGATAATATCCCTTATTCATAGTCACCTGGCCATGGACTATAATATCTACATCTACAAAATACCTTCGTACTTACACTGAGAATAGTGTTTGAGTGACTAACTGAGATTGTAGCCTAGCCGAGTGGACACATCAGACTGACCATCCCAGCTTCAAATCACATTTGCAATAAAATCCAAAGTCTGCTTCCCATACTAGAAAGGTCAGTTTCTTGGGGTGCCTGGGTGGCTCAGTCGGTTAAGCGTCTGCCTTTGGCTCGGGTCATGATCCCGGGGTCCTGGGATCGAGCCCCACGTCAGGCTCCCTGCTCAGCGGGGAGTCTGCTTCTCTCTCTCCCTCTCCCTCTGCGGCTCCCCCTGCTTGTGCTCTCTCTCTCTCTGTCAAATAAATAAATAAAATCTTTAAAAAAAAAGTTAGTTTCTTGAAGGTTGGGACTTTTGCCTGTTTTGTTCGCTGCTGTATGCCTAGAAACTAGGACAGTGCCTGGATATGGTAGGTGCTCAGTAAATGTGATGAATGAATGGGTATTGACATTCAGCATCTCCTTCTATGTCAGGATGTGTAGACATCTAGAACGCTTCTCCCCTTGACCTCACAGGAAGGTGGGAGCATCTCTGAGATGACTTCCTCTTCATTAAGGAAGTTAGAAGATGTGGGGATCCATCCTTGCTCTGCCACTTACTCTGAAAATCACTGACTCTATGTCTTGGGCAACTTGTCTGCCCAATGGGGATGCAACTACCTTTCTTGTGTGCCTCTTGGGATCATTGGGAGGATCAAGTGGAGCACAGGATGTGAAAGGACCTTGTAATTGTGGACGTGGACAAGAGGACATTCCATGTTTCTGTATACACCTCTGCCTGCCCTGTGTCCCTCCCTACCTCTGGATCTGTGTCCAGGCTGTCTCCTCCACCTGGAATGCCCTTCCTCCTGCTTCTCTTTGCTAAGACCTCTTTATCCTTTAGGAGTTGGCGTAAGATTCACTTCTTCCAGGATGTCTCCCTCAATCTCCACAGGTTGGAGAATTTTTCCCGGTTCAGCTTTGCCTCAAGTGCCTTTCTGTCAAATTCATCAACACCTGTGTGTTTGGGACGTAGAATTGCCTAGCGGTTGATGGGGCTGGGAGTCACACTCCCGGCTCTCCATTCACTAGATACATGGGCACGAGCACGTGCCCTCACCTCTCATTTGCTCACGGGCATTGGGATAATAGCCCAACTCACGCTGGGTGGCTGTTGCGTCCCAGGTAGTCCATGTTCCTCTCATTAAATTCTGAACACAACCACTGCGAAGTAGAGCTTGTCATTAGTGTAGGTTTTATTTTCACCTCTGCCTTATAGGTGAGGAAACAGGTGCAGAGAGGTTGAGTAACTAGCCACAGGCTAGATGGTAGAGCTGGGATTTGAACCTGTGCAGGCTGGCTCGAGTTTGTGCTCCTAGGATATGCTGCCTCTTGAACCTCTCATGATGATACAAATAAAGACATTCTTGTAGCTCTATGCTGGCTCTAGAGGGAGGAAAGTGGGTTGTGGGGTGCCGGGGCCTCCCTGGTGTCAGGATTGCTCTTCATGTGGGCCAGGATGTGGCTGTGTCTCCCCACCCTGGGATGATGGGGACCTTTCCCAATTTCTCCCAGGCCTGCTGATCAGGTATGGGCAAGGCAGGGGTAGGGAAGTGGCGGGGGTGGGGGGGGTGGCAGAGAGAGACAGGAGTGCAACTCTTGTGTGACATCATTTCCCAGTGAGCCACATTACAGAGGCTGAAGTTTCTAGAAGCGGGTGCGTGCCTGCCCCCAGCATTCTGCTCATAGAAAGGCTGGAGGGGCTAAGAGAGGGGCACAAGGGGTCCTCCCAGAGTGCCCACCAGCAGGGAGACCATGAGGAGCGGGGCCATGAGGAAGGGCGCCTGGGAAGGGGCAGTGCCCGAGGCAGCGGTGAAGGGCTGGGTCACGGAGTCCCTATTGCAGAGGTGCCCCTCACAGCAGGAGCCCTGCAGGTCGATGTTTGTCCAGGGGCTGGAGGTGCCCTTGATGGTGCAGGAGGGCCGATGGCAGGTTCTGATGTACACGGGGACTGAGAAATTGCCTGGGGGTGGGCAGTGAGGAGGGGGTCAGAACTGAGGGAGGCAGCTGCACCTGAACCTCCACCTCAGAGGCCGGGGCCACGACTGGGTCCTCAGACCTTACTTCCGGTCTCTCTCCTCAGACTAGAGCCCTGCCCTCCTCCCTCAGAGCGGGGACATGGCTTTCTCCTTCAGACCAGGCCATGCCTTTTGCTTCCAGACTAGGGCTCTGCCTCCTGTCTCAGACCAGAACCATGCCTCTTTCCTCAGACCAGGGCCATGCTTCTCCCTCAAGGACAGCCATGGCTCTTCCCTCCCAGCCACGCCTCCTCCTTCAGACCAGAGCTGTGTCTCCCTGTCAGGTCTGTCCGGTGCCTCTACCCTCAGGCCTGCCCTGCCTTCACACCCTTTGCCCAGGCTCTGCCCCGTTCCCAGCCCCTCACCGACGGTCATTTGGCCATTGCCCTGGAAGCAGACACTTTGGTCCTGGTGACAGCGGACCTGTCGAGACTTCTCCGGGGTGCAGTCCTCCGGGTGGATCCCCAAGCAGGCATAGCACTGCAAGCCGCTGAGAGTCGGCGGGTTGGGCGCTGGCAAGAGAGCGTAGACGCACACTCAGGTAATGGTTGCGAGGTACGGTCGTGTGGGCTGCGCACTGCATCGAGGCGCCCACCTGGCCTGACTGACGTGAAGGTCTGAATCCTAGCACGACGGAGGAGGCGCCCAGTGGAGGCCACGCCCCTTCCCTGCCCGGGCGGGGGCCCCTCCCAGTCCACCCCGGCCAGCCCCGCCCTCGCGCTCACCCGGGCTCAAATTGGGGATGGAGTCGTGGGTCATGAGGTCGGCGTTGCACAAGTCGGTCGCGCAGCCGCGCACCACCGAGTAGTCTGGCGGCAGCGCGTGGTCGTCGGACAGCGTTCGGCCGGTAGGCGGGCCTGTCCAGCAGCCTTTCTGTACCACGGTCACTGAGGCGCGGTAGCCTGGGGGCGGGAGGGGCCCGGGACCTGGTGCGTTGCCTCGTCCCAGCCGCCTTCCTCCTTTCCTTCTTACCGCCCCGCTCGGCCTCTCTGGTCTCCAATCTCTCCCTCCTCCTCCGCTCTTCTCGGGCACTCACCTCGCCTCTCCCCGCTTCCCTTCTCTTTCCTCCCTCTCTCCCTGCAAACTCCGCTTCCCCTACTCCCCCTACTCCTCCTCCCCTCACCAATCCCTTCCCACCCCTCCCCCCTCCTCCTCCCGGCTCCCACGGTCTCCTGCCCTACTTCACGCCCCTCATCCTCCCCGGTCTTTCTCCCTCCCCCCTTCCTCGTCCCGTCCTCTACCTCCGCTCTCTGTCCTTAGCTCTGCCCTTCTCTTTTCCCCAATCCCCCCCGACCCCTTGGCTCTTCCCCTCTGCCCCCTCCCTCCCTAATCTCTCATCGCCGTCGCTGCCCCCACCCCTTTGTCTTCTGCACAGCCTTCTCCTTTTCCTGCCACTTTCAGTCCCTCACCAGTGTCCAGGGACAAGACAGCCTCAGAGCATCCATGGGGACAGGAGACATTGTGGAATTTCATGCCGCTGAGGTCAAAGGGCCCGAAGTAGATGTGTTGAAAGTTGTAGCATTGTCGGGCCTGGGACGCTGAGGAGAGAAGCAGGGTGGATGGGGTGAGCAGAGCTGTGTGTGTGTGTGGGGGGGGGGGATAAGCCTGTTCCAGGAACTCCCCCGGAGCTCCCCCTAGCAAATGAGTCTCACCAGCCAGGCTGCTCTGCTCTGAGGGGAGCCAGGCCTTGCTGCCTAGACAGAACTAGGCACACTAGGATTCAGGCCTTCATGTCAGGCTAGGCGGGCCCCCGATGCCGTGTGCAGCCCATACCACTGTACCTTGAAACACTGCTGTGGTTGGTCATGGCAGTGTCTACCTCCTGGCAGAGTAATGGCCTCTGTGCACCTGCCAGTCCATTTTCTCTCCCCCAGCTATTCAGGATCTACACCCTCTTCCAGGAAGCCCTCTAAGATTAAATAAAGGAGGAAGTGATTCATTCCTGCTCTGCCTGTCCCTCTTCCAACTAAACTCAGGATGTCCAGGAGCACTAAAAGGCCATGGGTAGAAAGCAGACTCCGGCACAGGTAGTGGGATGTGCAGTCTTGTACTACAAATGTACACACACAGCCAGCCCCGGCGACACACGCACAAAACACTTGAAATATTGACATAAACACAAAATAATAAAATTGACACAGGCTCATGCAAATCTCACACACAGGCACAAAATATCCTGAGCATCCATGCAGAGTTCTATATTCAAATATAAAATAAGTACCACCCAGACCCTCCAGTGGAAACTCTTCCAACCAAGACACGTGCAAGATCATACCAACAGACAGAAAAATGTGTGGATACAGAAACAAAAACAACACGCAGAGAGACCCAGGGACACAGGAAGTCATACCCAGAGAGAGAGAAATATGGCCTCAAGAATCATAGACACACAAATAAAATGAGAGACCACAATTATGCAAAGTTAGAGATACAAAAAAAGACCCACAAAACCATAGAATTTTAAACCATAGACAGATCCAAGACACAGAGAGACATGGGGCACAGATACACAGAGACATAGACACACTTCAGTACCCGAATGCATGTGCACAGAGATAAATATAGGCGTGCCAATCACAGGGATGCACACACACAAAGAGAGGCAGAGATATGCAAAATTATACACACATCTCTTCTACAAAGAAAGTGAAACTCAGAGAAAAACAGACCCCGAAGCGTTTGTTCAAACACTTGTTCACGTGTGAAATCTGGTAGAGAGAAACACATGCACAGAGACCCACCGGGCATGCCTACATGGACACACACAGGAATCGAACTCTCTTCCGCGGATGAGCACACACACAGTGGGCCGGGCTCAGGCTTAACTTCCTCTCCCCGCTCTGCTCCCATCTTTGGAGCCACTTCGGTCCTGATATGTCTCTGTCTTTTCCCAAACTGGGGGAAGGGGTTGCCTGAGGGTGAGCCCGAAGTTCTCTGCCACTTCTGGAAAGACCCCCAGGGTTCCCCAGAAGTACCCTTGCACAGGGGCATGGGCAAGGAGGATGAGAAGCTGCAGTGGGGGCGGCGGATGGAGACGTCAGAGAAGATGACTGATGGGAGAACAGAGGAGAAGGACACAGTCTCCAGTCGTCTCCTCCACCAAGACCCAGGAGTCCAGGCCTCTAGCCCTTCCTCCCTCAGACCCAGGAGTCCAGGCCCCCAGCCCCTCCTCCCTCACACCCAGGAGTCCAGGCCCCAGCCCCTCCTCCCTCACACCCAGGAGTCCAGGCCCCAGCCCCTCCTCCCTCACACCCAGGAGTCCAGGCCCCCAGCCCCTCCTCCCTCAGACCCAGGAGTCCAGGCCCCCAGCCCCTCCTCCCTCAGACCCAGGAGTCCAGGCCCCCAGCCCCCTCCTCCCTCAGACCCAGGAGTCCAGGCCCCCAGCCCCTCCTCCCTCAGACCCAGGAGTCCAGGCCCCCAGCCCCTCCTCCCTCAGACCCAGGAGTCCAAACTCCCAGCCCCCTCCTCCCTCAGACCCAGGAGTCCAGGCCCCCAGCCCCCTCCTCCCTCAGACCCAGGAGTCCAGGCCCCTCCCCATTTCTTAACACTGGGCTCAGAAGTCTGGGTACCTGTCAGGCAGAACGCAGCCCCAAAGAGGCAGAGCAGGATGGTTCTGGGGACTCCCATTGCCAGTTTGTGGAGCTGAGCTGAGACACGGAGGACAGCTCCTCCTGATCTGATTTCTGTCTGGCTGGTTCTCCCTGCTGAGCCCCAGGCATCCTGGCTCTCCAGCCTGCTCTGGATTCCTCCACCCCCGCCCTTCCTGGTTTCCTCCTAGGTAATCATGATGGGGCCATGATGAGTCCTTGGTGCTGAGGAGGGAGAGGGATTGGGGTCTGGATTTCTGGGTCTGAAGGAAGAGGGAGCTAGAGGCCTATAATCCTTAATTTGGGGGATTTGTTATTTGCAGGCTCTCTTGGTTTCTCTTCTCTTTCTCTACTGGAACACACATTATGCATAAATACACACACACACGCACACATGCACACACGCACACACCCTCCAATGCTGGGGCCATGTCTCCAGACCCAGACACACAAACATCACCTCCTCCTAGAAGCCTCTTCTGATCCCGATCTCCCCCACTCATCTACCCACTCTCAGCCTCAGGCTCCTCCCTGTCTCCCAGCCATGGTCACCCTGGGTTGGACTGCTGTCTGTCTCCTATATCAGGCTGACAACTCCTCAGAGGCCTCAGGGGTGTTTGCAATGTTGTATGAATGAATGAACCAATGAATGTACAGAGAAGCAGAGACAGACAGACAGACAGATGGAGAGGCATGGGATGCAGAAAGACAGTCACTCGCAGTGTGGATGGATGTAAATGTTGACACCCAGATAAACCCAAACATGAAGGGGGACACCCTGATGAACAGGACATGCCTTTAATAAATGTTTATTAGATTAGTAAATGAATGAATAAAAAAAATTGGAGGAGATAGAGCCATAGGCAGACAAGCAGAGGGACACAGAATCCCCCAAGGACAAAGATCCATGTGGACACTCAGACACAGGGCAGTGGGGACATGCAGACGGATGCCCGTGCAGGCAGCTGGAGCTGGGGCAGAGACCCCACATCAGCACCTCCTGACCTGCCTCACTTCTGCCCCTTGGTGGAGCTGTCCCCTGCAATCACAGCCCTCACTGTGCTGTGCAGGGTGGGCACCAGGCATGTGCAGAGACCTAGGGTCATAGACCCACAGATGGATGGGACAGAGTTGACATAATGGCAGTGACCAGGATGGCCTTAATGGTCCCCCCGAGCTTGATAAATTTTACACAGCTTTCTTCCTGACTACAGCCCCCTGACCTCCCTTTCCTTAGGGCATTTGTTTTAGAAAACTTGGCATTGCATATCCTTTCTCTGTCTCTTTGAAATGTAGGTAAATCTCCCAGCCTCTTAGTAGTTTTGCAACCCTGGAATGTCTTTCTCAGGGACCTGCAAGCCATCCCTTTGAAAAGTCATCATTGAAGAAGATAGCACCCCCCCCCCCCCCCCCCCCCCCCACTTCTCAGGCTCTGTGGGAGTGTAGGAGCTGAACTTGAATAAGGGACAATTAACAAATACAGATGGCCTTATCACAGAGAAAAACAGTCTCAAACTCAGAAATAGCTCAGTGTGCTGGACACAGCCCATGGACCAGCCTCTGTTCCACTAGCCCATTCAGGGTTTTGTTCTGTTTTTGTTTTGTTTTGGTGGAGTCTCTCCACTATTGTCATAGGTTTTTGTTTTGTTTTGTTTTGTTTTAAGTAGCTCCACACCCAGTGTGAGATCAAGACCTGAGCCAAGATCAAGAGTCAGTTGCTTAACCGACTGAGCCACCCAGGCGCCCCTGCCATAGTCTTGAATAAAGTCTCCTGTGCCTGTTTAACTTTGGTGAAATTTTTCTGTGACAGCAGACACCCAGGCACTGTGGACACTCACCAGATTCTGAACTCTCATAGGCATGGTTCCCCTCTTTCCAAATCACTGCCCCTCCCATCAGGCATCACTTCCCCAAACCTGTTTTGCATCCAAATTATTCTCCCTGCTGCTCCTATTCCGGCCCCAGACTCTCTGATGGGTGCTGGCCACACAGGAGCAGGGTGGAGCGAAGGGCCCCTGGAGAGCAGAGACTGGCCAAAGAAGGAAGCTGGGTTTTCTGAAGCCCCTGTGGAAGGTAAAGGCTTTGGAGGTGTTTACAGTGGTTCACAGTTTCAGAGACTTAGGCTTGAAGAATCGTCAGACCAGCCGGTTTAGTGTGTATTTGTGGATGAGAGAGTGTGTTTAAGTGACTGTGTGAGTGTGTGGCTGTGTGTATGTGATTTTGATTCTGGTCACCTTAAGGTACCTTTGGAGACTGTGAGATAATAGGTGGGAAGCTCTCCATTGCAGGAGGTAATCAAGTGGAGACCTGGTGATCTAGATCTAGGGATTTGGGCAGGGCTCATATCCACAGGGGGCAATATATACAACATGAACTCTGAGCTCCCAGTGAACCCAGGGATTCTTTTTTTTTTTTTTTTCAGTAATTAAACTTGAGTAACCAAAAGTTAATTATTTAAGAGATTGGGGGGAAATTGAGGATGTTTGGTGGTAGACATTAAGGTGCTATTTTTAAAACTTTTTACTGTTAGAAATCACACACCAACCTACAGAGAATAATAGCATGCTTGCCACCAAGACTCAAAAAAAAATTTTTTTTTAAGATTTATTTATTTATTTATTTGAAAGAGAGAGAATAAGAGATAGAGAGCACGAGAGGGAAGAGGGTCAGAGGGAGAAGCAGACTCCCTGCTGAGCAGGGAGCCCGATG